CCCCAAAACCCCAAAACCCCAAAACCCCAAAACCCCAAAACCCCAAAACCCCAAAACCCCAATCCTTAAATTTCTAGATGAGTATTTATTCGAGTGGTTTTTAAATATCTACAATAATAAATTTATTTAAAATAACATGAAGTTGACAGGATACTTCCTGATCCTCGCAATCTTCTTGGTTGTGACCAGATCAGCTGTCGTAGAACCAGCATTCAGAGGTGGCTACAGAGGCCCATTAGGATCCACCAGAGTTAGAGGTGCCGTCGAACGCCCAGGATTCGTAGGAGAGACCTTCGTTGAAGGACCAGGATTTGTAGGAGAGACCGTCGTCGGAGGACCAGTCTATGGTGGTGCCTATGCCGCTGGACCAGTTTACAACGGAGGATTCGTTGGAGCTCCAGTTGTTGAAGAAGCCTTTGTTGGAGGAGCTCGTTACGGAGGAGCTCGCTACGGAGGAGCCTTAGTCGAAGGACCAGTATATGAAGGTGCAGTCTATGGAGCTGCTCCAGCTTACAGAGGAGCTTTTATCGAAGAGCCAGTCGTATACGGAGCTAGAGAATTCGCCCCAGTCGAAGTAGTAGCAGCACCAAGAGCACCTTCTCATTATGTAACAAGCGAGCATGAAAACAAACTCCCAGACGCTGTATTCACTTACACAGATGAGCATCACACCCCACATACTTACGAGTATGTTGACGATTTGCACATCCCACACACCTTCGAATACACTGATGAGAGAGTCATTGATCATCCTATTGAAGTACCAGAGACAGTCTTGGTTCCCCACGTCTATGACTACGAAGAGGAAATTATTGTTCCAAAGACCGTAGAATACCAAGAAGAGATCATGGTTCCCCATACCTACAACTATATGGAAGAAGTCCATGTCCCAAGAACCAGAGAGATTGTAGAAGAATTCATGGTCCCACGCACCTATGAATACGTTGAAGAAATCACAGTACCAAGAACTGTCGAATGGGACGAGGAAATCTTTGTTCCCCACACCTATGAGTATGTCGAAGAGGTCTCTAAGCCAAGATACGTTGAGGTTGAGGATGTAGTCATGGTTCCACATACTTACGAATATGTTGAGGAAGTCACTGTCCCAAGAACTGTTGAATATCAAGAGCAAATCATGGTACCACACACATACGAATACGTCGAAGGTGTTCCAGTTCCAAGAACTGTAGAGTGGGATGAAGAGATCATGGTTCCACATCAATACGAGTGGGTTGACCCAGTTTACAGCACTGAATACGTTCCATATACTGTTGTTGATGAGACTTTAGTACCCCACACCTACTCCTATGATGAAGCTTACACTGTCCCAAGATACTACGAGTGGGATGAGGAGGTACACACCCCATACACCGTTGAGTACGAATACGATGATACCTACGTTGTTCCAAGAACCCAATACTCTTCCCATGTTGAAGCCTACGAAGTTCCTAGAACTGTCGAGTGGCAAGAACAATACGCCGTTCCAAGAACCATCGCTTACGAAGAAGATAGAGTTGTAGACAGAAGAGTCGGTGTTGAACAAGACAGACTTGGATACAGAACTGAAGCTTTCGAGACCCTTACCCCAGGATATGCCACTGGTGTTGGATATACCGGATACGGAGCAAGAGGATTCTACTAAGTTCTTTCATGCTGAGTAATCTTTGTTGTTTAAAGAATTCTAACTCAAATCTTTCCAACTTAGCTTAGACAGGGATTAAGGATTCAACAATTATAAGGTAGTAGGGGTTTTGGGGTTTTGGGGTTTTGGGGTTTTGGGGTTTTGGGGTTTTGGGG